CACCCGAATGTAGGTTTCCAGATGTAGCCATTTGAGCGCAAAGGCGGCCCGGTGCCTTGGCTCAAACCCTATTCTTAGCGGGTAGATGGTCTGATCCTTCCCTCTTCATCATGTGGAGAGTCTAATGAATCCCGGATATTGTAGATCTTATTCCAACCCTACCCACAGAGATTAAATCACAGGCACCCAATATATTTAAATGGGGCAATCACACATCTCGTTGGCACAGTGTAATCCACGAACCAATCTCTTTCATGAACATCTTGCTTCAGTACGAGAAGTTTTATAGTTTGCCGCTAACTAAGTTCCATAATGAAGTATCTAAAAAGTACCGCCTTTGTATGCCATCAATGGTAAGTGGCTATAATGAAGGATCACAAAGGACAGCCCATTCATGGCACCATGACCACCATGACGCTGCTGTTACCTATTTATTGTAGCAGAAGGCTATGGTCGTCGAAAGTGACAATTACAATGGTACAGTTTATATCACTGCGAACTGTCGGGTTGCAATCAGCGGTTCCCACCTGCGGCCTTCCCACCAGTGGCTGATTCCTTCCTTACATCGATCACTGCTCGATCACCATTGGTAGTGCAAGGCAGCCGGACGCAGGCTCGAACCGCGCAGCTCACGCCGCCCCGACGAATGGCAATGTTACAAACTATAGGTTACCATTTGTTTTCTTCTGGATGAACCGTAATTTGCATGCAGCACGGTAGGTGGCGAAGCGAATTGAATCGAAATCCTGTACACCTGAAATGAGTGATGTCGGCATGCGATCGAATGAAGTGGAAATTTTTACATGCTCAATCAGTATTTCCATTTTTTATCCTGGAATCGGTGGCAGTGGTGCACTGAGGAGGGCACAGCTGAAGAGAAACTCTACACTTACCTACGAGTGCGGTTCTTTCCATGTGCGAATTGAGCGGGTCCGCAGCTGTAGCAGCGTGGCACTTTCGCAGGCCGAAAGTGCACGGGAATGTGCCTTGTGGGACTGTCTCCCAAATCAGACCTTGAATTCATGTAGATTACGACATCGTAGACAGTCATGGCTATTTTTGC